AGGTCAAACTGACAGGATGGCACGAAATTTTTTTGACAATTTTTTTTCCGGAAATCAGGGCAGCGACGACGAAAAAGTGCGACAAGAAATCACTATGATGGCGAGTGTCTCAAACACTCCCTGGGACCTAAAAATAGGATAGGGAAAAAATATTTTCAGTCGCCGAAATTTTGGCCTAAAAACTGCCCGGGGGTCTCCAGACTCTTTTTTCCGAAACCTACTCAGGCAAGGAAACACGAATCGGAAATTAGATGGATCTCGAAAATAAACCTAATATGCAAGGAACTCGGATTGGTGGTGGATATATGGTGGTGGTATATGGCAGCGGTGGTGGTATATGGCAGCGGTGGTGGTAGCGGTGGTAGTATATGGATATGGATCGGTGGTGGTATATGGATACGGATTTGTGGTGGTATATGGATACGGATTCGGAGCGGTGGTGGTAGGTGGCAGGGGCGATGATGATGGTGCGGTGGCGGCATGACAACTTATGACCAGAACTCGAAACTCTAAAAGACTAGACGCTAAGACCAGCAACTTGACGCGACGATGCAACCGCAAATTCAACAAAGCAAAATATTGAAAAGACTATGCAAAGGTTCAGACTGGTTCGGATAGGATGAACTAACCCTAAATTTTTTGTTGGCTTTTTCATGGACTATACGTATGAAGGACAGACTCGATCTAAACTACGAAAAACTGTAAAATCTCACCGAGCAACCTGGAAATCTGATACCACTTGATAGAGGCAAAGGTGTTCCGTCTTTCGATGAGATGGTGGCTATCATTTTGGTGGAAGTCGACTTTGACGATCCGACTACGAACGTGCGAGGACGCCGCGCCTTAGCAATCGCTAAACCAACTCCGAGAGGTTATTGACCACGCCGGTGCACGATCAACCTGACCATGAAGGTCTATTTCCTGCAAGCAAACGAAGAACAAGTAAGAAAATAAGATTGCAATCTGGATATTGCGAATAACAGAGGAAAGCTTTATTAATGAAGGTGGGGTTCTGTGATGCCTTTGTCTGGTCGTTGAACACAAACGAAGTACGCGAAGTTGCAGCTATGGCGAACTTTTAATCTAAACAAAACCCAAAGTCTAACGGTGCCCTAAGGGCTGTATATATGGAGGAAGAGGGGGGGAATTTCGTGGCCCTTGGTGGAGGGGTCCGAAATCAACCCTATGTCTTGTTTCCCCACACATACGGACTATAAAAATAGCCTATACTTATGTATTTCGAAATTACATGGGCCTAGCCCAATAATAAGGTGATGCAGCACCTAGAATAGCCCCGGGACGAAATTTATGGGTGGCATCTTGTATATTTCGTCCAAGGCTTCATGCATCCATTATGGTGGCTTCAAAGTCCTGAAATCATCACTTGTAAATCCGTTCTTGTTCCCCTTGCGCATCATCTCCATGCTTGTTCTTGCTCCAGTGTTCATCCTTCTCCAAGCTAGGCCCTTCATTTGTAAGCAAAACAAATGTATCCAATTTAGGCAGCATCATATTCTCATGAACATTAGAATCATTACTAAGAAACAAAAGTACCTGATAATTTAATTGGCGTGCGCGAGCTCTAGTAATTGGTCCATTATATGTAGCAGTAGGGGCTGTGGGTGTAACAATGGTATTGATGTCCTCATCAATATTCTTTCGGGTGGTGGCGATCCACGTCACTTGCTGCATCCTCGGGCGAACGGTCGACTACTGGGATGTTGGAGATCATGTTCTGGAATTCGTGAAGAGCAAACACATCGAGACACCGGAATCAGATATGAAGAAAATAACATACCAGCGAGTTGATTAGGCATAAGCTCTTTTCCTCGACGGTCGGCGGGAGCTCTCTAGAGTAGGCCGACACCAGCCTGGCTCCCCGCGGGTTGTCTCGAGTGTAGGCGATGGCCTTGATCTTGGCCCCCACATCTTTCTCGGCGAGCTCCTCTGGGTGTACTCGGGTGGGGTCACTCGGCCCCTCATATAGCCACATGGGGTGAGCCCTGGCCTGCTGCAGCTAAATCCGCCGAGTGAGAAAAGTCTCCAGCAGATCCATGTCATTCACGCCGGCGTTAACGACTCCAACCAGTGCAGTGGCCAAGATGACAACCTCTGTCTTCTCCTCCTTCACCACTGAAAGGGACTCGGGGGCCCTCACTCTCTCCACCGAGTACGGTGGAAGGCCTGACTGGTTGGGGCAGCTGGGGACATCCCTGCGATAAAACCATGTCCCCTGCCACCCCTTGAAGGAATCGGGGAAACTCATCTTTGGGAAGCCGCTCCCCTCCCCCGGACTTTGACGCCCAAGCCCCTGCTCAGCTGGGTGACGCGGGTCTTTGCGCCGGCTGACGAGTCCTTCTTGATGGACATCGATCGACAAGTGAAGATATGCTTGAAAAGCCCCCAATGGGGTTGGCAGCCGAGGAAGTTTTCGCAGAGGGAGATGCAAGCTGAAAGATAGATGATGGCGTTTGGGGAAAGATGGTGGAGTTGCACTCCGAAATAATCAAGAAATGCTCTAAAAAAGGGGTGGGGAGGCATGGAGAAGCCCCGTGCGACGTGGGTGACGAGTAGGACGCGCTCATCCTCCTGCGGCGCCGACTCGATCTCCCCCGCACCCGGGCGACGCCACCCGTCATGCGGGATGAGGACCTCCTCCGCAAGCTCCTCTAGCCGCCAAGCCGTGACGCGCAACGGGATCCAATCCCCCGCCGCACCTCTGACCGTCACACCGGAGCCGGAAGAGGAAGCCTTCCTCGCCTTCTTCGCCTTTTCAGCCTTGGCCGTGGAATCCCTCGCCATCGCCACGTGCTCAAGTGGAGAGGAGAAGCGGAGGAGGCGGAGGAGGAGAAAGGGGATCTAGGGTCCCAGCCTCTGCCTTCAAATCTTTTATACCATGGGGCGAATTTCGAGCCGGATCCCACGCCGCAGATCTCTGGATCGACGGTCCGTGCGATGGGGCTTCATGCAGAGCAGGCACGGCACGTGGCGGATGTCGGGCGCGAAAATCGAGGAGCCACGCCCCCACTTTCCACACTAACGCACGACGTTGCCGCTTCTGTGCGCGAACGCACAAATTCAAATCCCATGATTCCCGGGGTGAATCAATCTGATTGATTACCCGCGATCCCTTTCCTAAAGGACGCATGTGAGCCCGTCTGACCACCCTCCGCGGGGACCCGTGCACTCGGCCACGTTAAACACTCGACTGAAGTCTTCTTTAGGATCGTTATCTGATGAGCTTGACGCCCCTCCGCGGGTTCACTTGGCCCTCTCAGTAGGCTCCAAGGCGCATGACTTGTAAACCTGGACTCGTAGAAGGCCCGTGCTGGCGTTCCCCTTGGATAAGGAGTGGCATCTCTCCGGAGAATCAAACCATGCGCCGGCGTCGTCATTCGAGTTGTAATGGCATGCCCAGACTCGGGACCCTAGTCTATCTCCTCTGAGAGACAAAACGAATGCCACCGTTTTTTTTGTTGACGATCAACAACACTTGGTCATCCGGGTAAACCTGTAGTCCGGAATCCGTTGTGTTTTTATTCAAGGAACAACAAGCCATGACTCGGAAACATATTCTGAATGCTCCCGCAACACTCGGATTTGACCGAAAAATCGGTTTGTTTGTCCTACGAAATCCCAACCGATTCGGGGGCTAATGATGTGGTCACCTATTACAGGTAGGGTCAAGGACCCATCATTTGGGACCCACATGGGGCCCATCACCACCATAGGTAGGTCCCTGGACCATGCCAGCATTCGAATGCTTACATCAGGAAGTTCACTCGGACAGCTCGACGACACTCGGACGACCACACGTCACTTGGCGGATGGTCCACCGCTCGGACATAGAAGGCAAGAGGGCGTCGTGGGAGCAGCAACGGTCGAAGAATTCTAAGTCGTCCTTTAACAAGAGTCAAGGCTACCGTTGCCAGTAACTGCTGTAGTATAGGCTCATCACACCTGTAACTGAAGCATTCAGTGCCATTTAATGCCTCGGCGACGTGGGAGACATGGGCTGCGGCACACTGTATATAAGCCGTACCCCCCCTCCATAGCCAGGCACGAGCAACCTTTGTAACCATACACATCAAATCAAAACAAGCCCCAGGACACGAGACGTAGGGCTTTTATCTCCGCCGAGAGGGGCTTGAACTCGTTAAACACCGAGTGTTACACCTGCGCCGTAGCAAGGTTATGCCCCTTATTCGTACCCCTAGTACTCATTGTTAGGATGGTAACCCCCACATGTGATTCATGCCATGAAGCTTCATGCACATGAAGAATCCGCTAGAGCTGTTTCTTTTTTGTTGACACTCCATACGACGGTAAAAAAGAGAGCAGTTTGAATGAATTTGACGATTCTGCCAAAGTTGCTCTAAAATTATAACTCAATACGGGCATCATCATGTGGACGATTTAAGACGAGACCATGCACCTCCACCAGGTTAGGATCCTCTGCAGTACTGTACAGTGCTGTACAGTCACTGTATGTCAACCCCCTTCCACCACATGACGCACACGATCTGAAACCGCCAAAAAATAAAAAACGCCTTTTTCGCTCTCGAGCTCTTCTTCTCTACTGCTCTCCCCCTTTCCCCCATTCCCCGCCGCTACCCGCGTCCGCGCGAGCAAACGCCGGCTCAACAGGCCTCTCCAATCAGGTACGTGCCTCCTGGAAATCCCGCTCCTTTCCCCGAATCTGTGACTGCCTCTCCCAATTGGGCCCTGAATTCGCGCACCTGCGCGACGAAGCTTCCGGAAGCTTCAGGGTTATCCGGGCGTTTTCCGCGTCGGGACCGCCGGGATTCCAGAAATTGCAGTTTCGGTTGAGGCGTCGCTTCCGCCGCTTGTTCGATTTACATTCTCGGTGCCCTCTTCGGTTTCAGTGGGCGCTGCTACGCGGGCTCGTCAAAGTTTTTGTTGCTGCGAGGGGCAGGAAGGCGCTGCTTGGCGACCCATCTTACACCTGGTGGTAGTGGTGGTGGTGGCCGGTGGACACCATGAGCTTTGTGTTCCGGGGCAGCAGGGCCGACATCGAGGCCGGTGGCTTCCCAGGGTTCGCCACGGAGCGCCGTGCCATGGTGAATTTCTGTTCTGTGCATTTCGGCTGAAATGATTCCGCATTTCAACCTAGACTAGGTTTGCTGTTCTAAATATCTGATCCCATTCACTTGTGTTGTGTGCAGCGGATTCATGCCGGGGGGCGGCCGGTGAACAGCAATTCCTTAGCTTTTCTTGTAACTGGTAATGTGGTGTGTTGTGTGTACAATAAGTTATCTTTAAGCTGTTAACAATTACTTACCAGTGTTCTTAGTTAACATATATGGTCGGCTGTTTTTCCTTGGCCAGTTCTTGTTCTGTTCATGGTACTGAGCTCGCAGCAGATGTCTCCGAACTTTTTGGTTAGTTCATGCACAATGTGGTTATGCATGTGTTATTATGCTTATGAAGCTTCATAGAGTAATTTCGTAACTTTTGTCGGATTGCTCGGAACTGTCTCTTTTTGTAGCTTTGGATGGTCTTAGGTGTGTTCCTATTGGCCACCAGCCTTAGGATGTACGCTACATGCCAGCAGCTCCAAGCGCAGGCACAAGCTCATGCTGCAGACGGCAACGGCTTCCTTGGACGCACTGAGTTGCGGGTGCATGTCCCGCCAACCATAGCCCTTGCTTCGAGAGGCCGGTTGCAAAGCCTTAGACTCCAACTTGCTCTGCTTGACCGCGAGTTTGATGATTTAGGTACACTGATAAGTTTTGTTCGCTCTGCTTGCTGTTTTACTGTTTCGTGCAAACATAATACCATTGTTGGATATTTTGCTTGCAGATTATGATGCTCTCAGAGCGCTAGATACCGACAACAGCCCACATGCTCCTTCTATGACTGAAGAAGAAATAAATACTCTGCCTGTTTTCAGATACAAATTTCAGGCACAGCAGAGGAGCACCCCTTCTCGAAAAAGGCAAGATTAATTATCCTTTTAAGGTGCATTATGGCCAAAGCAAACTGATTTTAAGTGCCTTCTTTCTTCAGTATGTAACCGACCAACTATAGCGCAGTTTGAGGCTTGCCTACTGAGTTCCTCTAGGAAATATGTAACCAACAATGCATAATTGCCTTCTTGTACAGCGTGCAGCTAACTCTTTTTTTCTTTGATTCAGTAGTGATGGGCCATCTGAACCATTGGTTTCTTCTCCTGAGTCCGGAAAGGAGGTAATGAATAAATGTGTTCCTTTGATATTTCTTGTGTAAATCCGTTATATATCTATTTCCATTTTGGTATGACTAGACAACTAGCAGTGTAGCCTTAGCTTGACAGTTACACTCTGGAATTTCATTAGTCAGCCGTGGTAGTACCATAACAATCACACAGCTAGTGGCTGTGCTCTTTTTATTTCAATTAAGCGCGTATCCAAGAACATGCATGGTCTGGACTGTGCCGCCATGGTATGCAGTCCTTGTTTTCAGTATTTCATGTTTGCTTTTGCTGTACAGAAAAAGCAAGATGCAGATGCAACTAGCAAAATGACAGAGAATGAGTTGACGTGCAGTGTTTGCTTAGAGCAAGTTGTTGCGGGTGATCTATTGAGAAGCCTGCCATGCTTGCATCAGGTAATTATCATACGGATCATCTTGCAGTTGTTTTCTTCATTTTGACAGTAGAGGACTTCAGTTATTATCATGATATGATAATGTGTAATACCTGATAACTGTAGCACTGTGATAGAGCAACTTAGTTGACATAGTGTTGTCCAATTTCCTATAAGCATCCTAGGAATCCAAAACTGTGTTTCATGCTAGTGCATTTTGCGCAGTTTATCCATGATTACAATGAAGCACCAAACGTGAAAGTTTTACCTCACTGCTTATAGGGATATCATATACAGTGCACTTCTCTGATCCATATTACTTGTCGCTCACTTAGTATTGTACTAAGTGAGCGGCAAGTAATATGGATTGAAGGGAGTACATTATTTGTTCCACACTTTCACTTGTTTTTTGTTTTGTTTTTTTAGAACCACTTTCACTTGGTTGGACACTCCCTTCCGTATGCATTTCTGCACTACTCTGAATTGCTGATGTTGTACATGCTGCTAGCCTGCTATTAATCTTGTGTCATGACATGAGATGAGCCTGCAAGATTTACTCGATCCCCCATCTTGTTTTGCAGTTTCATGTGAACTGCATTGATCCATGGTTGCGCCAACAGGGAACATGCCCGATCTGCAAGCACCAGGTCAGCAACGTGTGGCGTGGCGCCGGCAGCGGTGAAATGGATGACATGGTGTAACATTACATGAGCTTCAGTTCTTAACCTAATATTACTAGGCGGTAGTACTAACGGAAAACCCATGGAATCGGGCACGAGCTGTTTAGTCATGCCGAGAGTTTCTGTACATGATGTGTTCCCAGTTCCTTTCTCTGTGATGTTTATGCATCCAAAGGCTGTTTGCTATTTTCTTGTTGAGTTTTATTTATCCTGACGGTTAAGATCATGTACAGTGCAAGGTGCGTAGAAAGGTGCCTGTCAAAATAAACCAGACTAGAGTGTATGCGCGGATGAAATGAGGTTGTCCTCATTTCATCTCCACGTAGCGCACAACCTCATTTTATGTGGGGATGAAATGTGGTTGGCCGCTATGTGGGCCCAACAGCCTGGCCCCATTCTTGTATATATATGCCTTGCATACTCTCATTCCACTCCCCCTCCTCACCGCCCAATTCGGAGCGGGAAAGGCCAACTTCACCGCGCGATCCCAAATGGACGTCCGCTTTGGCTGGATTCTGTCCCTTTGGGTAGGGCGATGGGGTTGTGTCCGGGTCTGTCCTGGGATGCGGTGGCCGTGCTGGGCGGCCGCATCCGTTTGCCCCATCCCGTTCGCCAGGGCCTAAAATGCCTATATTTTCATATGAAAACAAGTTTGCACGTCCAAATATTAATTGTTTGAAAATTAAAATAGTTTTACAATCCAATTAAAATTGTTTCTAATAAAAATAGTTTTACAACCAAATCGAAATTGTCTTGAATGAACATAAAATGAACAAACACATCTATCGGTTGCCATTATGATCCCACACGTGCTCAACCAAGTCATTTTGAAGATCCACATGAGTGTGCCAATCACACAGCTCACGATGAACTGGACAAACTGATCAAACGTGGCCGGTTCTTGGTGCATGGGCTCAACATTGTCACCTTGAAAATCAAATCCTTGGTCGAAGATACTGTCATCACGCTCGTCCTCGACGATCATGTTGTACAAGATCACACAAGCAGTCATCACCTCTCAAAGCTTCCTTTCATCCCATGACAGTGCAGGGTATCGAACAATGCCCCATCGGGGTTGAAGCACAGCAAAAGCACGTTCCACATCCTTTCTAGTACTCTCTTGCATTTGGGCAAATCTCTTTCTCTTCTCACCTTGGGGCTTCGAGATTGTCTTTACAAAAGTTGACCACTGAGGATATATACCATCAGCTAGATAGTATCCTTTGTTGTACTGGTGGCCGTTGATCTCAAAGTTGACAGGTGGGGAGCGGCCTTCTGCAAGCCTCACGAAGACTGGAGAACGCTGCAGCACGTTGATATCATTGTGAGAACCTGCCATGCCGAAGAAAGAATGCCATATCCAAAGATCCTGCGATGCCACCGGTTCTAATATGACAGTGCACTCGTTGACATTCCCCTTGTACTGGCCCTGCCAAGCAAATGGACAGTTCTTCCACTCCCAGTGCATACAATCTATGCTGCCAAGCATGCCTGGAAAGCCTCTAGCTGTGTTGGTCGCCAACAATCTCTTTGTATCAGTGGCAGTTGGCTGCCTCAAGTACTCTGGGCCAAACACCTCGATCACAGCCTGGCAGAACTTGTACATTGATGTCAGACATGTTGTCTCACTCATACGAACGTACTCATCCACCAGATCGCCTGGAATTCCATACGCAAGCATGCGGATGGCCGCAGTGCATTTCTGGTAAGAGGAGAATCCAAGCTTGCCAAGGGCATCCGTCTTGCACTCGAAGTATGGGTCATGAGCAACCACTCCCTCTCGGATACGATTGAACACATGCCTTGCCATTCGAAAACGGCGACGAAATTTATCTGGCTTGAAGAGCGGTTTGTTGGAAAAGTAATCGGCATAGAGCAGGGCGTGGCTTCTCTCCTTGTTGCGGTTCAGGTTGGGAGCACGGCCAGGGACTGACCCCCTGTACCGAGGAAGCTGCCGTTGAATGTGGTCGTGAACAACCAGTGCAGCCACCACAAGATCTTCATCATCCGACGACGAATCGTCCGATGAACAAAGGAAGTGGTGGGACAAAAACTCATCTCCACTGTCCATACCTTTGTGGGCAAAATGTCGAACACCTTGCGGTCGTGGTGGCGAAGAGGCCGCGATGATCACCTCGATGCAGCAGGGGTGGTTGCCGGCCCGCTACTGGCCGCTCTGGAGCGGAAGCTGCCGCGGCCGCCATGGTACGTCGCCGGCGGTGGTGTCCCCTCTGCCACCGGCAAAGACGTCGACGGCCAAACCTCCTCCGATTGACGGCCAAAACTACGACGAAAGCGCGGGCATGGTGGCGGCCATGTCGAGACGTGGTTTGGTATGGACGGCCGGGGGCTGCGCGGTGAGGAGGCGGCCGGAGAATAGCGGTGGCGCCGGCGGCGGGGCGGGGCGGGAGAGAGAGGGTCGAAGCATTGAGAGCGGAGGGACTGCTAGTGTCCCCGACAGGCGGGCCACAGGGGAGGGGGCAAGGGCGTGCGTCGCGGCCGTCCGCGCGCGTCCATTTCACCCCAAACCGAGCGCAACTTTGGGCCGGGGATGGGTCGAAGACGGACGAAATCTGGACATCTGTTCGTTTGAGGCCGCACGTTGGGCCGCGCTATTCGTCCGTTTTACCCCAAACGGACGCACCCGAACAAGATGGGGTCGCACGGTGGAGTTGGCCTAACCACAGAAAACCCACCCCTTGCGATGGGTCGCACCAAGGAGGAGGATGCTTGGCTGAGCCGTGTGCAAGGTCACGGGCAGTCCGCGCAACGCCGGATCCGGCGGTACATCCAACTCTTGACACCACTGAGACAACTCGTCACTGCACACGCAGCCGTGATCGTCCCTGCCTTGTGATTGTCCTCCTTGTGGACATCCTCCTCCCGTCATTGTCCTACTTGTGGACATCCCCCTCCTGTGTTGTGCTGATGTCCCAGGAGAGTTAGGGCTCCAACGACAATGTCGATGGGGAGGATGTCAAGCCAGAGCTTCCGAAGGTGTTGTGATGGTCAGTGTATGACCCGGGGCCATCGCAACTCCTCTCGCGTCCGGGGCCATCACAACTCCTCTCGCGTCTGGGGCCATCACAACTCCTCTTGCGTCGTCCCCGCCTTCGCCACCCTATGTGCGCCCTTAGCTTCTCCAGTTCATTGCGTGATGTCAGCACTCATCCTTGGCGAAGGGAGCTTGTCCTTGTGTGGGATGACATCCTTGTCGAAGTGGACGGGCTCCTCCTCACGCCAGGCGGCGCCGTTGTCGAAGGTCCTCCGAAACGAGAAGCTCCTAGTCCAATGTATGCTCAGTCAGTCGCAGACAATTAGGCAAGTGACACCCGACGCCGCGCTTAAGAAGGGCTTCATCTTCCCCAAGTGATATGCCCGTCGACAAGTTGAAGACGTGTGCGCAAGGCCAAGGCCCTTCTCTATGAGAAACAAGCCACAGCTTGTTGACGATGTCGCCGAAACGACGCCGACGTCCGCGGCCCAAAGTTCGTTGAGCTGCACCTCAACTTCGGGAGGGTGGTCGGTAGTGGTTAGGTCATACTTAGTTTGGTTATGTTTAATTATGTCATGAACACCGTGTGTCCTATGTTTATGTGATGAACTATGTGTTCTCTTCTCTAAAAAAACTATGTGTTATCTATGTGTATGTGATGAACTATGTAAGTCCTATGTGTTTTTGTGATGATGGTATGTTTAAATTTGGTGGCCCATTTGAAAATGGGGAGGACATATGGGGGGTGTTGCTCGTTTTGGCAGATAATTTGGTGATGTCCGCGAACAGATGGAGGAGAGGTTTTGGTGCTTCCCCTTTGAGTGCCTAGGGCTAAGATGTGATGATTTACATCTGGCGGCGGTTTCAGGTACTCACGGTTGTGGCACATTATAGTCAGCATTACAAAGCTCAAGTGCGTTTGGGGGACTAGAGCCCAGCCGAACCACAGTTCTACTGTCTAGCCTAGCAAAATTCTCTAAGTAATTACGAACTCCGTTTTGACAGCGAGATATGTGGGCAATACAAGATTGACGGAGATATGAAAGATGTTTGATCTCTTGAACCAAAGAGGAGTAGATTGATCTATCAATTTCGTTGCTATTCAAAATTCTAGCCACCTCACTCGAATCCACTTCAATATGCACTGGAAATTCACTCCTAAAGTGTGTAAGTGACAGTCCTTCCGTGCATGCACATAACTCAGCTTCCAGTACCGTGAGGCTATTTTGGGGGCAAACCTTCGGTCCCTGCTGGCGTTCATGCTTGGGCAGCGGATGGATCTGATGGCTCTCCTAGGATCATTGCACACCGGCGATTAGCAGCCCCTGGGAGGTGATCTTCGTCTGGGATTGCACAAGGTCTGGAATCTCTCCCTTTGTTCCCCACCCTCCCCTGTTCTATCTCTCGTTGGTCGGTGCGGCGGCCAGATTCTTGTTGGCCGTGGTTTGGGGTGATTACATGGCAATCTTAGCATTGCTGCCCACCCTTGGCCATTGCTGACTGGGATCTGCCAGCATGCTCATGGCAGGGACAATGGGGGAGAAGGGGAAGAGCAGTGAGGTGGCCGCCCTTTTGACCAAGTGTAGCGGCGGTGTCCCATCAGGGGTCCTGCTTTCCAGCTCGGGGAAGGCGGCGCCGGTCTCTGAACAGGTGCGGGAGACGGGTGGTTCCGGCTCCGGTGCACCTATAGAAGACAAGTTGGAGTGCTTGCGGCCGACAGCAGTCGAGACGCAACCTGTGTTGTTGGACGATGAGGACGATGCCGATCTAGTTGACTCTGATTGTGTGTTAGTAGGGAAGGTGCTTTCTCCTGGTGTTCTTCACATTCAGACTATCATGTCGGTGATGAGGCCGGCTTGGGGCAATCCGAAAGGGCTGCTATTCCACCCTGCGGGGGACAATCTATTTGTTGCAGAATTTGGTACGAGAGAGGACCATGTGCATGTGATGGAAAACTCACCATGAGTGGTCGACAAGCACGCCATCCCGCTCAAGAATTACAATGCGGACATCCAGCAGATGCGGG